GCTGAGGATCTGCAGATAGACGATATCGTTTTTTCTCCAAGAAGTCTCTTATTTATTGAAACATAAAATTGCATAGAAATTTCAATGGTTTCAAGACATACTATCTCTCCCCCTCCCCTTCCCCCCGTTCAAGACCCTATTCAGCTAGAGAGGTAGAAGTTTATTGTGACCCACTTCACCTAGAGAGGGTGGTGCTCACCTTATCGCACGTATGCTTCTCATACGCAATTGAGGTCGCTTCAAACTAAATTTTTCAAATATTGTCGAAAATAACATGAACAAGAAGTCTACCCTCCTTCCAACACTTTATCCCTGCGCCATCTATCCACTAGTTTCACTCCATTTTTCGCCTACACTTCGGCCATGCTCCATATTGAGGATCTCTCGACAGCAACATCGGTGCCGCTGCTGCAACCCGCCTCCATCAGTTTAAGGCCGAAAATCTTATTGCTTTTTTTGTTTCACATAAATTGGAGTGCATGTGTTCCCACTAAATGGTGCACAAAAGGTAAAACTTTTGGGAAATTTGCTTAGACACTGCGCAACTAGTACTTTTAAGCCATGAAATGTGCTTTTTTCGCAAGTGTTACTTCGCTTCTTGGAGAAGTGGCTAAACCTTATCGATAAGGGTGGTGCTGCTAATTAATTTGACTGAAGAATGTGGAACCGAAAAAAGCCCATCTAACACACGTTGCTTTGCAGTTTATCCAAATTTGAAACCAACTCTGCCGAAATACTAATCCAGCAATCAAGGTCTTGCTACTTTAGCAGTTTGACATTCAGTCTGATTTTAGAGATAGGCGACATTCCTCAATATTCACTAGGTTATGTTGTTGAAATCAAAGTTTGCAATAATCAAGACCCCACTAGTTCATTTCGCAACAATATTACCTAACAGATCTACCTTTCACTGTTACGGGTAAATGACAAAACAAGCTGTTTGGAAACTTCGTGCATCATGCTATTCTGCGCCAAGCATCAGTTATCGAGCGCTCTTTTCATTCCTAGAAAGATCAGTTAAAAGTTGCAAGTCTGTATCTTCACTACTAATTAAGTAATTTTACTGAATTGGCCCGAAAACTCGAATATTTAGATAAACCAGTTTTGAATTGAATAATTGA